GATGGAATGATGTCAATTTGCAAACACAAATTCAACTTAAAAAGAGCAACATCTGGATTCGTGGTTTGACATTCCTAACTGATTAAAGCCAAGGGTGTCTTAAAACAACTTCAACCGCCTGGTCTGTACATGACGCCACGGAAGATTCCTGGAAGTATTAATAGCCTGCAGACCTCAAAGACGGGACCGGAAGTCCAGATTAGGACTAGGTAATTACCAGCTGGCGTAAACACAGTCCCGGAAAATGTCAAGGTTACGTGTCATGGTCAGCCCAGCTGCCACCAAAACAACTAGGAGGGTGCTATTTACCAGTCATAACCCTGACCCACTATAAACAACTTGCAGGGAAATGAAAATAAATATGTGTTTCTTATTGAAACGGGAAGCTGTGTTTCGTGACTTATCTGTGAAAGTCACTTCGGTTGACCATGTGTCAATAATATGTTCATTTCCTGCCCGAAATGCGAGAACGGTTAATTGTGAAATATATTTACTGACATCTAATTCACTGACAGTTGGGTGGCCTTGTGGTTAAAGCGTTCTCTCGTAACGCTGAAGACCCGGGTTCGATTCCACACATGAGTACATTTCTGGTGTCTTCCGCCGTGATAATGCTGGAATAATGCTCAAAACGGCTAGAAACCTTACTCCATGTCAATGTCTCCAGCACGGAGTTAACAAGTGAGTGACTTAACATTTAGCGTTATTGGCATACTTTCAGCCATTCAGCAACAACCTGAACAATGGTTGATAATGTGAGCATGTCACATTGGTCCATCAGTTTACGATTTACAGTGTCACTCAAAACAAGGAATATCAAAATGGTCACACATTCATGTACTAGTATGCAACTATTCAGAAGACATTTGAAAGAATCAATCCACATCTATATGGGCTCTTCTCTATCTTCTTCTACCTAGGAAGCCCAGGAGACGATTGGCAGTTAGCCGAAATTACAGCGCCACGCGTTCTGTGTTCGCTTCTGTGATATTTTACGCTACATTCGGCAATAATCTTTCTGTATAACGCTGGCCTGTGAACAGTCGAATTTTGGGCATGAAACACCAGTAAATGAACGTCCCGCGCCGTCGGGGTATAATGACATACAACCAACTAAGACCGTCTCCGTGGTGTAGTGGTTAGAGCGTCCGCCCGGAGAGCGAAAGGTCGCGGGTTCGATCCCCGACTGCGTCATACCAAAAGATGTTAAAATATGGTACTTGTTGGTCCCTGCCTGGCGCTTGGTATTAATGGGTACAACACGGACTGGTCGGCTCGGAGTCAGTATAATGTGTCTGAGTCGGGTATTCATGCTTCACTGCGGCATGGTATCTCAGTGGGCTAGTACTATAAAACCAGCTTCAGTCTGGGCTAGTACCAGCAGCCGCACATACACATACACACGCATGCACGTCGTCATATGAGCGAAATATTCTCAAGTACGACGTTAAACCCAGTCTCACCTCACCTCACCTCACAATCAACTAAGTGACCGGGTCTGACCACCCTAGCTTGGAAGTCGTCTCTTATAAGTATTGGTTGTCCTGGAACGATCCAATCCTATATTTATCAAGGTTAAGCTTTTGTTAGTGAGTGAATGAGTTTAGTTTTACACCCCTTTTAACAATATTCCAGCAACATCACAGCGGGGGACACCAGAAACGGGTTTCACACATTGTATCCGTGTGGGGAATCGAACTGGGTCTTCGGCGGGAACCATTAGGCTAACCTACCGCCCCGTTAATCTTCAGAAAAATGCATGAAATTACACAATAGAATACATATACATAACCGATGGGATTTTAATAGCTCGGTATTAAATAAAAGAAATAACAGTTACAATAAAAGAAAATTAAATGTTCAAAATTTTGTAAATTTGTTTGTTTCTTGTGCAACAATACTCCAATGATATAAGGTCCGTCTGAAATGAATCGAGTCAATCGAACAATCAGGTGATTGATATCATGAGCGTCGATCTACGCAATTGGGATACGATGACATGCATCAGCCAAATATGCGAGCCTAACCACCCGATCCTGTTACAAGCATGGGTTGCTGAACATCAATTGTAACCCGGATTTTCACGGGTGCACAGTAGGTAGTGAGTCAGTCTTATAGTCAGATAACGTTCAACGTTCAACTTGTCATTTTCCGTCATCCCAAAACTCGCTTCTTTCAAGCATAGGTTGCTGAAGATCAATTATTACCCGATTCTTCGGGGGTATTTTCTGTAAAGGTGATAACAATTATGTATACGTACCCATATACATGTATGAAGCACTTAGCACTACGTTAGTGTGATAAAAGAACCTGTCATTTAGTGTCCCTCGAGACCAGGATCCGCGTAGTATTTATTCTATTAAATTTTAGAGTATTTTACTTTTCACTCCCAAGGTAGTTCATATTCTTTGAGGCGCCAAACGGTCAATAGGAATGTTTCGGTCTTAAAATTTTGTAGGATGCTTGACGGCTATGACTTTAATCCTTTGGCATTTTGATCAAGTTCCCGTCTTCTAACAACTACTGTTTGAGATTCACATGGGGTCTTGAGAACATTGCCAAGCATAGTAATACAAGGGAGGCTACTCTCGTTTCTAAGGTAAAATTTCAACATATAAGTAACACCCTTATTGTAAACAATATGGAATCAACATATCTCGCTCATGACACTGTACGCAAGCGAAACACGAACGCATCGTATGTACATTTAATTCATAGTGTGGATTGGGAAATCATTATTTACTCGTGAATCGCACATAAAAGTTCAACAACAAATGAACAATCCTAATTCACATAGACGTGTCAGAAATGCCACAGGCCAGCCGTATATTTTAGAGAATTTGTCTCAAAATATATGGAAGCACAGGAGATCATTGATACTCTAGATGAGCGTTTTTAATTAAGTTTATCCGCATCCTTGGGAAGACACTTCCAAATTAGACGCATTATTGACAAAAATGATGTCCGATGCAAATCACCATTTTGACTTGTGGGTCCATGTTTGTGCATTTTCACGTCCACCTTGTGTGATAACAATTTGACAGGGATTCATCAACACGTGCAGCTCGAATGGCAGATTGACTCTGCACAGATTGGGTATGGAAGTGTTTTGTCGCTTATATGTCATTGATTAGGGTATGGGGGCGTTGGGGTAGTCTAGTGATTAAAGCGTTGGCTCGTCACGCCGAAGACCCGGGTTCGAATCCCAAATGGGAACAAAGAGTGAAGCCCATTTCTGGTGTCCCCCGCCGTGATATTGCTGGAATATTGCTAAAAGCGGCGTAAAACCAAACTCAGTCAGTCAGATTAGGGTATGTCACTGAAAGTATATAATAATAGAGAACATTTAATTGCTGTTGCCGAATGGGCTGTTAATGATCTGACCGAGATTAATCTTTTACACGTGCCCCAAACGACCAAGTACTGATAGCTTCAGCCTTGCTAAGTCTATCGGTATCTTGTCATGATTCTATATCTCCAGTCTCCCGAGAAGGTGGGTGAAAACAATACAATTTGTGCATCATAATACAGAACAAACTTTATCGATAACAACTTCTTTTATTCGTGAGTGCGACCTTTCGATACAGATTCTTGTACCGTTGTCATTGCTGAAACGTCGAACTCACGAATAAAAGAAGTTGCTGTACATGAAAATTGTTCTATATTGTACCTCTCAACTTCTAAAATGCCACTCAAAAAAGTTGTACATCATATTTTACAATTTAGATCATATTATGATAGTCATTACTTTAATTTATTTTAGCTTTTAGATCGATTCGCTTTGCTTCGAAAACAATTTATAATAAATATGTACACATAGAAAACAGTATCGGATCAGCCCATATTTCCCCATAGCATCAGTACGTTAGCAGCAATAGTTGACCATAGCAAATGAACTTAACAAACCCTCAGTTGAACTTACTATCGGGATAAATTAAATAATAAAGGGCATAACTGAATGGCAAATCTAAACGTAACAGTTTCTGTAGTTTATTCAGAAGAGCAAACAGCAAAGCATTCACTCATTTCATAGTGCTGATAACTATGGTAGTATGACTTTAACAAGTGCCGTCTTTTAAGCATCAATAAAAGAGCACAATATCAGTAACTGGTGTAACCTCCACTCATGACCCTCCTCATCACCAGACGTCGAATTTGAAGTTGCGGGATTGCGTTCCATTCTTGTTCCAATACATCCAGATTTTCTCGGGTCCCATAATGTCGCAAACATGCTCTGTAGGATTGAGATCTGCACTTCCGGCGGGCCAAGGTAGTGTTGCTACCGCTTTCTGACGTACGAATTCACCATCTTGCACGTGTACGATGTGGCCTGGCATTGGCGTCCATAAAGATTGGTCGTGTGTCCAGGATAATCATCGAACTGTGGTACAAAAACCCTGGCTTGTATGTTAGTGATATAGCGTTGGCCATTCAGATGTTGTCTGATCGTCACACGATTATGTTCACAGTCATGTAAGAGGGATCTACACACGCTCAATTAACCATACTAAACGGTGCTTGCTCCAAGATATTCCATTCTCCCTATGCGGTATTTCTGAGGCGCTAAATACGAGCTCGGCCATCGGACTTGCGTCCAACCAGTGAACCCTTCCCCATGACGTCAAATTCCAGTGACGTTGAGCTTGATGCCAAGCTTGTCGCGCTGCATTGTGCTCTGGACATAACAACGCATATGGACCAACGGTCATTTGGGTTTACACCCGGCCGATTTTAGGTGATTTTGGACCGTTCTATTGGACGAACATGATCTTATCACATTTAGGCATGAATGTCAACAGCGTCAGGGCATCATTATACAGAAAAACGTTATATTATTTTACGTCGGAATAAACAGTCTGATCAGGAGATAGGGAAACGGAGACTTAGAATACCGACAGCATATAATAGGCTGCCTTAGTACTCGGGGGACGTTGAACGTTGCTGGGAGTCATTCGTAGAAGTAAATGCCATGTGTTGTCTACAATATGCAAATTCCCATGAAGAGACGAAAGTAGTTTATTCACATGCGAAATACACATTACATAAAACACCCGACAAAACATTAATTCGTGTAGCAATAAAATGTGAAGATATCACGAAATGAAATATATTTCAACCATCGAAATATATATGATCATCATGATTATACAAAAATATATAATCCATGAAGTATAAATGTACCATAGAACTGCCTTGTAAGTATTGACATAATGTGCTGACCTGTGAAGATCTGAATTACACCAACGAATAATGGAAAGTACAAGTGTTCTTTTATTCTTTTCCAGGTTTCTACACAAAGTATGTATTGCACTGTTGGTGAAATTCTGAAAATAAATAAAGGAACACTTGTACTCTCATGTGTTCCCTTATTCGTTTCTATGAGTATATTCTCCTTGAACACCATCCCCAAGTTACAGTTTGTTCAAGCTGAAATGTGTTCTATCCGGCGGGTCTCGTCAATGAAGACTGTTGATCCCTGCCTTTACCTTGCGGTACCTCGTCTGGCCTAATCTCACTGCAATTCTGTTAAACAGGAAGTAAAACACGTTAAAGTTACAACTGAATTCTTGAAAAACATGAAACATGCACCCGGTAGGGTAGGATACACTCACCTTTTCTCTACACCTGGTGTCGCGGCTAGTTAATAGTGATTCAAAGTGGTTGAGTTCAGTTTTACGCCGCACACAGCAATATTCCAGCTATTTGGCCGCGGACAGTAAATAACCGAGTCTGGACCAGACAATCCAGTGATCAACATCATGAGCATCGATCTACGCAATTGGGAACCGATGACATGTGTCAACCAAGCCAGCGAGCCTGACCACCCGATTCCTTTAGTCGCCTCTTACGGTAAGCATGGGCTATTGAAGATGAATTCTAACACTGATCTTCACGGGTAAAATAGTGATTCAAAACAAGCTATAAATGAGCTATAAGTAATCGAGTCTGAATCAAACAACTCAGACAGTGGAAGTGGAAGGACTGGACATTACGGACTGGACATTACGGCCGGGACGGAAGCGGACAGGTTAAGATGTGTGTTGTCGATGTCGGATCAAAACCCGGTTTGAGGTATGGCGGAATACTGCTGCTTTTGCGCTACTGACGAATCAGTGTCATATGAGGACAGACTCTGGCAGATATTGTGTCCAGTAATCTTAACTATTTCCCTTGCTTCCATTCGCTTTTCACTTAAAAAATATCAAAGATGCTTCCGAGATAGAAATCGCCCATGTCCGACATGTTTGTTTACGAACAAAAGGGTCAACGAGTCCATTGCATTCATACACGGTCAATCGGTCACTTTAATTAGCGGTCCTTAAACTGCCTTTAAGTATGGTTTTGATGATGAGCTCTCAGCCAATCAGAATCGAGTATCACACAATGTCATGCAAGAATTGGAATTCAATAAGCCGCATTCAATAATATTCCAGCTCTATGACGGCGATCTCAAAACAATTGAGTCTGGGCCAGACAATCCAGTGAGTGACACCATGGGCATCGCAATTGGGACAGATGACATGCATCAACCGAGTCAGGGAGCCTGACCACCCCGTCCCGTTAGTCGCATAAACACAAACACAAACACAAACATGTGTTGCCGAAGACCAATTCTAACCCAGATCTCCACAGGTACAAACTGTATTAACCAATAAATTCACGTTTCCATCTCACGTTGAGTAATTATCACTAGTAAGGAATACTTACTTTCTAGCAATGGCGGGGAAATACTGGAACAAGTAGCAGTAGGATAGTTCTGGGTTCCGAGACACCCACACTTCATCCAGACTGTTACTCATGGCGACAGCGATAAGATGGGCACATCGGTCTGTTGCCATCCTGTTTTCTGAAGATCTCATCTCCACACCAAGACCCTGTGATTACACAGATAAAGTACAAACCTTATATCGGGTGAGTAATATGTTCGTTCTATTCCATAAAGAATCGACGTCCATTCACCACGATCTCATCGGTTGTGTCACAAACTCCAAGTCTTCCGTTCTGTCTTAGCACATGTACATATCGGATAGTTGTCAGGAGTCCAATGTGTTTAGACAGATATAATTAAGCTTGGTGTCATTCGAATCGGTAAATGACAGTTCCTGGGTATTTCAATCACCCAAGACATTTCCCGGATTGAACAATCGTGTTTTGTAAAACACATGCTCTATTTCAAGCACACAGCGCATCTCAGGTAGATTAGGATGCTCGATTATATTTAAATATCAGTCCTTCTGCGGTTTCAGAGAAGTCCACAGAAGAACTAACTTGGTCTCCCAAAACGTATTAAAATTACATACATGGCATTCTGTCTGCAACAATATTCCATGCCGATACCGCCCATTATCAACCTAAGTATGGGAAACAGTCGGTTATATAATATTTAGCGTCTTAAGAAATTGCATCAATGACTCATGTTCATCATATTTCAGCGTACACACTTGGACAGAGTGACTATAGCGTTACAACGATCCTCACTTGTTTCTCTGTTACAGGTAGGATCACATTCTCTTACCACAGAGGTTACTTGTCGTATCTTCCTACGAACCGTGTTACATCGACTTAGATCCAACTAGACTAATACAAGCAAATGTGGGGCCACAAATATCCCTCCTCTGCTGGGCACTTGTGTTGATGTGACGCACAAGGCATTTAATGGCTAGCTCGTCCGTTGTCAATGGGGCCATGGAGATGATATTGAGTTCTGTCTAGAAAAAACGTTTGCGCATCGCGCAGGGGAAGAGGTTCTAGTTTTACCGAAGCATACGAAAAATACCGAGACCTTGCGAATGATCACTTTTGAAACAACGACGGTGATTGCACAACTTAATCTGATTGCAACCAATCACGAAACCTGAACACTCGCACCATGAAAGGGTCGTATTAGAACAGAGGTTCGTAGGAAGATATGACGAGGAACCTCTGTGGGAAGAGAATGCAAAGGGCCATGCAACAAGTAAACAAAAGAAAACAGATGTCCACATTAATAATAATAATGAGAATGTTTATAATGCACCTTTTCAGGCTCAAATCTCACAATCTGATCATTATTACACCGGATAACCTAAGCTGCCAGTTAGGTGCTAGAAGGTTATAGTCTCAAGAGTACAGTGAACAGAGGCAGTTTTGAAAAAACTCACTTGCCTAAGGTGAGACCACATGTATCACATGTGCTCCGTTGTGGGAGAGGACTGAAGTCCTAGAAAACGCCAGGACTCAAGCTGTCACACACGGTCACCCATCCAAAGACTCTCCGTGCCCAACGTTGCTTAACTTCAACTGATTTGTGGTAGCTTTTACATGTAGTACCATGCCCACGCCGTTCCCCTGGACCTACCTCGCTACGCTGCTCAGTAAAGGCCACCTTGAGAGCATCTGAGAAGACCGGACCCGGACAGACCATAGTAACCTTGATGTTATCGTCGTAACCCTCTATGCGTAGACTCTCGAACCAACCCTTGTGCAAATAGACAAAACAAACTATAGTTTGGAGATAAACTTCAGCTAATCTTCTTGTTTCTGAGGAAATGATGTCGACAGTGTGAAAATCAAAATATATGTGATGAGTGCAGCCCAATATTTTTAGATTGCAATATGACTAAATGCTAAGAAAGACGAATAAGCATTAAATATTGCTTCTGTGGTTGCCATATTGGAAATCCTGTTCGAACCGGCAAACAACGAACTAGTCACCAGCTTGGAACGATCTTAGATCCTGGCACTAGCATGGAACGTGCAGTGCACAGTCATCGTTTCCCATTTACAGTCAAGGTTCATGGATCCATAACAATTGCCGAACTAAATACGTACATGCAGAGCGTGTTTGGATCCACAATACGACCCGATCCCCGGAGCACCTGAACACGAAACAACAAGACAATCATGAAACGAAAATGAGTCAGTTGAGCTCAGAGAGAGAGAGAGAGAGGGATTTTACCAAATAATGTAATTAACGTTCTGCGATATTTTCAAGGTCTCAATTTCCGTTTTCACAATAAGTTAACAAGCCCACAATTGTCACTTTACCACTATGTCAGAATGTCTTATTTTCGGCCAAGCATGACAGAGTTCCCTGATAAACGGTAGCGATTCCAGGGATATATAGTACCGTATACTTGGAGTGTACGTAATGAGGTTGACTGCTTATCAACGTATCCAACGTCGTGGGATGTTGGTCAACCGTTCGCCTGACACAAGGTATTGATTTACTGTTAAGATGGTGGGCGATGAGGTAGCCTAGTGGTTAAAGCGTTCGCTCGTCACGTCGATGATCCGGGTTCGATCCCGCACATAGGTACAGTGTGTGAAGTCCATTTTTTTGTGCCCCCCGCCGTGCTTTTGCTGGAATGTTACTAAAAGAGACGTAAAACTAAACTCACTCATTCACTGAAATAGACTGCTGACTCCTGATTAAACCAACAAGAACACAATTTTTGTAACTACTTACCAAACTTGCCAGCAATGCTGGTAACGACAACCACCTGCCCCTGTTTCCGCTGCACCATTTGGGGCAGCACAAGCTTGGTGAGGGACAGCGGCCCCAGGGTGTTGAGCTCCAAACACTCCTTATCCACCTCCAGACTGGTCTTCATCCAGAGGGCTCGCTGGGACCGCCCAGCATTGTTCACCAAGCAATCAATCTAGAACGGCACACGTGAAGATCCGGGTTAGAATTGATCTTCAGTAACCCATGCTTGTCGTAAAAGGCAACTAACGGGATCGGGTGGTCAGGCTCCCTGACTTGGTTGACACATGTCATAGTATCAATTGCGTAGATCGATGCTCATGCTCATGCTGTTGATCACTAGATTGTCTGGTCTAGACTCGAGTATTTACAGACCGCGGCCATATACATTGAATATTGCTGAGTGCGGCGTAAACCTAAACTCACTCACTCAATCAATCAATCTACAACGGCGTAGAGAGGGGATGTTTAATTCAGAAACTCCAGATGTTTGAAGGGCTGGTCGGGTAGTAATATAAGGGTAATGCTATTTTAGAGGGCATTATCGTTTGCAGAAGCCCGAGGTCTTCCATGAAAAAGACAGAGGGCTTCTGCAAATGATAATGCCCTCAAAAATAGCATTACCGTTATTATTGCTAAAATAGATGGAATTTGTGTTGAAAGGAAAAAGGCAACAATGAAGGAATTTGACTGTAAGTTTACCCAAATCAACTTCTGACGGGGTCGACTGCCCGAATGCAATTACGTCATCGAACAATTCAAGTGACGTCACAACAGAAAGTGACGATATTCGACCTTGGCCTTTGACAAGACCATAGCCTGCAACATGTCAAACTATGTCAGTGTTCGGTTTTGGTCCTTCAACAGCCTTAATAGTGCGATTGTTAAGGTTAGCACCAACAAGAAAGCCAATATTACCGCTATTTAAAGCGGGAATTCGGGTTGCTTTGACTTGTTTGACCCAGAATATCTGCCAGTCGAAAGCCAATTAATGTCGAATGAACCGTAAGCCCACGCACCCACTATGACGTCACTTGACAACAGAACTGATAGTGGCCCGTCGTTAAGGTTGAGCGGTCCGATATCATTTGCAGCGGCCCGCAAATTTCTGATAATGGGAGGGCCGTTTCATGATAATTCCATGTATTTTAGCTATAATTCCATGTATTTTAGCTATTATTATAATATACAGCATCAACCTGACTAAGTACAGACATGACTGTGTTGGCTTGATGGAGCGCAATTATAGCTTGAAAATATTTTGTCATCCTGAATGTTTGATTTTCTTGAAAGCTACGGACAGTAATTGAAAAAAGCAAGAAATAAACAGACAGATATCACAATCAGCGTTAACTGGGAACAAGAAGAGATGATTTTTTTGGTGTGCATTTCCAAACACATGAACTAAAATTCGAACCTGTGTGACGACATTGTTTCTTTGATGATCTCGTAACTAAATCCCCTGAGCAACTATTGTGGACATTTCGTTCAATATTTTGAAAATCAGAACATTCGCGTTCATAGTGTTCCAGTTTAAGCAAACTAAACAAAATAAGAAATACCTTTTTATTGGTATATATTGTAATTGGGTAATTGTTTTCTTGTTGAACAAATAAGGTAATGACATGAAGGCTGGTTGAACATGGTCTAGGCAACCGACGTGAAACATTTAGTCAGAACGTCGCGCAGAGGTTCCTGTGAGTTTCACCGATTTGGACAGGGGGGCAGCAAAATCTCTCCATTATTCCAACCCAGGTTGGCGTGGGTGGAAACTGGGCTGTTATAGTCAGTTAACCCTTGTGATTGGGGAAGATCCTGATCCACCATGAGGGTTGCCTGGTGAAGATCCTAATCCACCGCCTCAGAACATCATAGAAATGAGAGGACGTTTGACACTGACCTGTTTGAAGTGCTGGATGACAGTATCCACCGCCTGCTGGTGAGTGTCTCTTTGGACCAGGTCGACGGGAACAACCAGAATGTCCTCGCTTTGGACACCACCATACCGAGCTGAAACACGGTACAGAGTAACTGAGGAAACATACGACAAGACATTTTACCTTTGGTTAATAACTCATTGCAGCGCAGATAGACCCCCGATATAACAATATATAGAACACAGTTGATTTGTGAGGATGACCAGGTATACGGAAAGAAATTGTGTAGACTGACATTTTCTTATTACACGTTTTAAAGATAATATTCATTCAGATAGCACATTTGTTAACTATTATGTGTGAAGCTTATATCTGGTGTCCCTCGCCGTCACATATAAACGGATTTGAGAGTGTCTTCGTTTGCTGACTGATAAAAATGAAGCTGCAGCTCAGAATTGTGTGTAGATATTCAACTCTGTCTGTTTCAAACGATATCACAACGCGAGTAAGGTTCGAGTTACGCTGTTGTTTATCTTTTTTGCCAGGTGCACCAAAAATGTCATCATACATTGTACCCATTTGGTGAATCAAACCCGACCCTTAGGCGTGAAGATCGGACAACTTATCTACTTAGTTCCCGTCTGCCCTTCGTATACAGGGGCGATAGGGGTAGCCTAGTGGTTAAAACGTTCGCTCGTCACGCCGTAGACCCGGGTTCGTTTTCATTCATGGGTACACGTTTAAAACAAAACGTGGCGTGAAACTGTATTCATTCCCTCAATCGATATAAAGCGACAGTTTTGACGTTACACGTCACTGTTACCTAGACAGGTCTTCTTGACCCTGTTGAGTTCGTCTTCCCGCCTAGCTGACAGGATCAGACGACATCCGGCCGCTGCGAGCCTGTACGCGAGTCCTTCACCTATACCGCTGGAGGCGCCCGTCACCCACACGACCTTCCCCCTTCAGGCGCTCTGGGCACAGGAAAAATATTATATTGCACTCAGTCTGATATATTTGAGCTTTCTGTTTGTCCCCCTTTCAATTACGTGACACCCTGCTTATTCGGTTTCTGAATAATTTGAAACAAAGTGTTTTACACTGGGAATTATGGAAACTGACGGATATATGACGGGAGCGGAAGACTCCGACTGACTATTGTTACTGTTCCCTTATAAAGTGTATTGAGAAATCCTATTTTTCTGATCAAGTGGTTTTTTAAAATATTCAAAATATTTAATCTAAATATGGTTTTATAGTATTAGGTGATGTGAATATTTCACTTACATGGCAACCTGCACAGACGTTTGTAGCTGCTCGTACAAATCTGGACTTTAGCTAGTGTCTTAGAGTCCACGCCGCTGTTTATTACATAGACCCGACTCAGATACAGTAAGCTGACTCTGAACTGGCCTGTCAGGCAGGACAAGAAGAAGTAAACGTCTTTGGTATGGTCCCCCAAGGGATCGAGAACCAAGCTTCCGCCCTCTATCCTGGAGGTCACGGAGACCACTCACTCACTCATTCACTCACTCACTCACTCACTCACTCTGTTGTATCATTAACTGAATACTTGCATGCCTCACCCGGGGACCGTCCAAACATTTCTGCCCATTGCAGCGTGAGGTCACAGTCGGCGAAGAAGAGTCGGAGGACCTGAACGACGACGACAGTGACAACTGCGGACACCAGCAACTCCAGAAACATCCCGGTCAGTTGTTTATCAGATAAGAAGGGTTAATCTTCATCAGAAGAAAAGGTGAAAGGTTACTTCTGAAACAAGGTCTGTACACGGCGATATACGATAAGCGCGCTTTCGATGTGAAATTAAGTAGTATAATATTAATCATTCTGATTTTATATCAGTGATGGTAATTTTACAGTTTTAGTTCGTCATGAATATTTATATCTAATTTTGTTGTATGTTTCAAAGATCAATTCTCACAAATTCGATCAGGATTCATTCAAATGCTATCTGTTGAAGATAATAACATATATTTATCCGTCACTACGATCACAGAAGCGGTGTTCCCTCAATCACCAAGACCCGTGAAGATCTTCAGTAACACATGCTGATCGGGATCGGGTGGTCAGACTCGCTGACTTGGTTGACACATGTCACCGTATCCAAATTGCGTATTACGTACAATGCTCATGCTGTTGATCACTGGATTGTCTGGTCCAGACTCTATAATTTACATGCAGCCACCATATAGCTGGAATATTGCTGAGCGCGGCGTTTAACAACAACAAAGCAAACCCCAATCGTCAAAATCATCAATCGTTATATGAAGAATATTTTAGCGGTGCTTCAATCAATATTTGTCGGTTTACAATGAAAGCTTCCTGCTTCCCTTGTAAAACGCGTACACTATATGACCTGGACGAATATACACCTACGAGTTACGTCTGCTTTCCTGGATAGTTATACTTCTACAACCTCCTCGCCGATTCGTGTTGAAAACTGAGAAATCACCGCACACACAGCAAAGACGCACACACATTCCAAATGTATAGACATGTGACTTTGATTACCTCCCTTTGAAAACAAAAGGGAGCTAATCGCTGGTGATTTTTTGTAAACTGGTTTCACGTTTTGTTCGCGAAGCAAGCTTAGCGCTTTTAGACAATCAAACAGGGATCAAATATTAATTCTTGTGAGAACATTTAATTCACAAGCCTCCATATTGTCAGCTGTGTGTTTTCTTGTTGTCTTCTCTTCTAAGGACAATCGTACAGTACAATTACGTGTTATAACGGCATTAAGCCCTTACCTTAATATACTCCCCATCAAAAGTGTAGACTCACTAGTGTAAATGTAGCCACTTACTTCAGTCAGCTCATCTGAAGTAGATTTTGCAAAATATTCTATACAGTTTAAGGGTACTGTTTACACGTGAACTAATGTATTGTAAAACAAATTCGTAAAGTTGAACAGATTATTGTCATGAGTTCAATAAATGATGAAACTTGGCGAATTCTTAACAGAACCTTACACCAAAACGCAGCTGTTCACATGCACGATATTAGCACATACTTTCCAGCTATTTAATGCACGTTGCGAAGAGGTTGAAACGGTTCTGATGTCAGCAATAGAAAGTGTCCAGAAAAGAAATAAGCACATGAAAATTGCGGATTCTAGTGAAGGGGGGCTGGGAAACTGAGATATTATGTTGCTAATGATCTCGCTGGTGATTCTGTGTGTTTGCTATTGAATTCTCTTAGAATTCTCAATAAGCAATTTACACGTGAGTTATCACTTCTTCTGTTACAAAACAGTGGTCTATAGTGACAGTAGAAATATTACGTTTGGATCACCAATGTTTTCCACAATTTAAAAACAAACGGCAGTCATACTTGACTGATGCAACACAACACTTAATTTATAGGCCCGGTTGTTCAAAACTCGGTTATCTTTTAACCAGCCGTTAAGTACATTTAACCGACCGTTAACTAATAACAGAGGGTTATCTTGTTGTTCAAAACTCTGTTAACTTTAAACAGGTTGTTAACGTGACGTAAATGTAAAACACACCTAAGGACCGCCGCTAACTTTTTAACAGTGTGGTTAACTCGCAAATGGCGTTCATGGCTAACACTGCTTTCATGAGGCCAGTTCAGCAAAGAAAGGATAGGGTGTATCGTGGACTGGACTTCGATACTGGAAATTATTCTGACGAAGAGTTACATACGAAACTGTAACTATGCACTTCATAGGAACTAAAATACATGTTGTACAAGAACATGATGCCTACGTTTCATCTTTTAACACTTGTGTAAAGGTTTATATATGTTTTACTACACTAAATGTGTGAATTTCTTCTGTAAATATTATTCAAACAAACACTTTCAAAGAATCAAACACGTACACCCTATACCCACGTATGATATGATATTGAACAAGACTAAATGTAGATAATTAAATTAGTTTCATGAAAAAATATCCGAATGATTACATTATGATACTGAAAGTGTAATCGGCGGGATATGGTGATTGTGTATACTCTTATTCTACCGACCTTCACCTCAGAGAAATTGCCAAATATGTACAACAATGTTGACGTATGACATCACTACCGTTGAGATTTCTTAAAAATGGCGGCTGACATGGGTTTTGCGAGGACCCTTCCCTTGATTCAGGGATCGTTTGTACATAAATATGAGATGTAAGTAATCAGAATGATTCTGACTATCTGTGTATTGTTACATGTTTTTATCGTTTTCATTTTAAGAAAGAGAAGAAGCGGCCAGAAATGCCGATTATTACCGTTGTCGTTCTGCGTGATTTTGCGTCAGTCATGGCGTCACGCTGCACAGAAACTTGACAGTTTCGTATAAACACATCACATTCCTGTATTGCATCTATTTTTAATTTCCTATTTCTTGCTACTATGCTCTTTCCATGCAAATGGGTGTCTGAAAATTTGAGAAAATGCTACACAGTATAAAGTCTGAAATTTTCTTTGTTTACATTTCAAACAGGTGTTGTCTTTCGAGCACAGCATTTGTTTCCACCCCAATATCTTTCGTTTCAGTTTATCTAGACACTTGGTATTGGTGACAAAGACCAGTTGTAATTAGATTCTAAAATGTATGAGGAATTCAGTAGGGCTGGGACGAGTAGGAAAAAATGGAATCGAGTACCCGCATGTACTTACCCGAATCGGAATCGAGTACCCGGAAATGTAAGAAATACATTCGGGTCAACCTCTGAATATTCAATCACGATTTGACAGAGACTATTATAGAAAACTTGAAAAAGTGGTAATAAGACATTAAAACTGACCTCAAGCTATTTAATTTACGTCTGTTTAACCAATATAGAGAGTAACACCATTACTTACACTCCTCGTTATAACAACGAACGTTTCGTTCCTGCTGCTACTGTAACTTAACTACTCACTGCACATGCACAGATAAATTACAGTCATTAAAACTATGCTCCATTAATCGGACAATACCAATGATGTAAAAACCCGTGAATTTCCGGGTTAGAATATTTATCTTCAGTAACCCATGCTTGTCGTAAGAGGCGACTAACGGGATCGGGTGGTCAGACTCGCTAACTTGGTTGACACATGTCATCGTATCCCAGTTGCGCACATCGATGCTCATATTGTTGATCACTGGATTGTCTGGTCCAGACTCGATTATTTACAGAGCGCCGCCATATAGCTGGAATATTTTTGAGTGCGGCGTAAAATATTTAGGTAGATATAATACTAACCTATGAAATTAAACACAAATCACTCACTCACTCACTGTGTGGTTGTTGAATGATAGTAGGGCTTCACTTTAAGTGTTTGTTACGTCAAAAGACGAAAAACTCTATTCTAGACATAGCTATTGTCTGCCCTTTTCATTGAGGCTCATTACAGAGCTTGTCTGCCTCCATTACAGAGCTTTCCGGGTACCCGATTCCTAGAAATAGGACTCGATTCCAGCTGTACCCGACCCGGATTCGAGTACCGTAGTACCCGTCCCAGCCTTAGAATTCAGTGATGCATTTGTCGCCGCTGAATATGAAATATATGTGATGTAATTGGCGTCTCAATACCGGCCTTCGCGAAACGTTGTGAGTTGTGAGTGATATGCAGGCCTACTTCGTAGTCACTTTGATTAAATTTTATATTTGAATATCGAAACCCTTTTGTCACAGCGAACACAACACTATCTCTTGTCATTTTACACGATAATGTTTGGAATTTTAAACTTATTTTATAACAATATCTGAATGCTAATGTTATACACTGATGTATTTTATATAAGGAATACAATGGCACAATAGTATTTCTCTGCCGAATCGTTGCAGCGTTCTATAATACACTTATGAAATATAATACATGTTTTCCGTCCTTGAAGAAATTGAAAAGAACTATCTATGCATTTTCTATAGTCACTTGTGTCACTGTGTGAATTGAACTAAAATTGAACTAAATGAAGGTTCATCTGATTAATGAGTATCGAGGAAATTATGTTCATCTATAAATTAGACGCAGCTTCATGTTTTTCAAGACATCTTTCCGGAATATGCGTCTGTGAAGGCGTTCAGATAATGACGATATTGCACAGTTTTATTCATGAGATTCCTGTCAACAGTAAGGTCGAATAATAGATCGATTAAATTCAGCAGTGTTGGCCCTGGGGCCTATAGTACAATTACAGTTTGATTACTTGCACGTGGTGCTAGTAACATATTAAGTTTCTATTGGCATTGAATGCATATTTCAGATAAAAGCTAATGGTATTATTGTCACAACATCTATATTGTTTGATGTTAAAAGATTTGGCAATGTGTGTTCATACATTACAATTTTTGACAGACTTGGCAAATAATTAATAAATGATATTGATAGCATCTTAATGACTTGGCCATACAGTCATGACAATTTAAGGAGTGAAAAGTGAGCGATAGGTCTTGTGGGAATTCAAAGATTCATTAAGACTGTAGCCGTCTAAGCGTAACTCCTGTGTGTAATATTTGTAAATATTCTATCCACTGAAAACATGCTTCTACTATTAATATTACATGTATTTTCATGGATTCATCATATTTTATCTATAGCTGTGCTATAGTTTCTCATTAAAATGTCTTTTCTGTTGTCGGAATTGAAGTAAGTCCCACACAGAGCTGGGATCATATGTCTTTGAAATATATATGCAAACGTCTGGAACCTTGTGTTCCAATACAAGCGTTCGTAGCGCTACGACATTCGCATGCCTATGATAAACTATAGAGTTGGTCTCAACCATTGACTGGATTACATTCTCATCGTCAGCAGAGAAATTTCGACTTCTCTTTTTCCTTGGGGTGCAGGCGACATTTCGCGATTCCATTTTGGTAATCCGTAAGTAAACAGAAAACGGAATTGTGGGATATATGAAAGCTAACCAGTGACGTTAACCACACTATTAAACTTTGACGGCGACGTTAGCTAACGGCATGACTAACCATGTTTTGAACAACGCATATTTAACGTTCGGTTACCTAACGGCCGGTTAAGGATTTAACCGGCCGTTAGACAAGAGTTAACCGGCGGTTAAGATAACCGAGTTATTGAACAACCGGGCCCAGGTTGTTTATTCAGATGCGAGTGATGTTGGATTTGCAGGCTATAGTGTTAACGGAGATTGTGTACCTAGTTGTGGTCAGTGGTCAAGTGAAGAGGCTAGGCTCAGTTCAACTTGGAGAGAGCTCAAAGCTTTGCAACTGGTGTTTGAAAGTTTGATTTCAAAGTTAAGTCATCAACACGTGAAGTGGCTCACTGATAATCAGAACGTTGTTGACATTATAACAAAGGGGAGCATGAAGGAACATCTACAGTCCATTGCTCTGAGGATTTTCGATTTGTGCCTGAAGTATAGCGTTGAGTTAGAGGTTCAGTGGATTCCCCGTTGTGCTAACCAAAAAGCTGATTTTTTTAGTCGGTTGCCTGATAGTGATGACTGGGGTGTTTCTCAGGAGGTTTTCCATTAAGTAGATGCCACCTGGGGACCCCATCATGTGGATAGATTTGCTTCTTACTACAATACG